AGTTAAGAAACTTTTTTTTTTTTTTTTTTGCGGGGTGCCGACGACCCCCAACCGTTAGGTGCCGACCAGCCGACCGGTCGGCGGGTCGGCAGCCGACTAGTCAAGGGCCGCCGACCGTCGGCGTGTGCAACCCTGCTGCGCACCGACTTTTGCCGAGCCTGGGTTCCGTTTTTTTTCTTTTCTGGTACTCTCCTGGAAAACAAACAAAAAAGCACGGCCAGACTTTCAAAAAATACGACCCACTCGCAGGCAAAAAAAAAAAAAAAAAAAAAAGACCACCCCCATTGGACGTGATACCCGGTAGATACCTACCCCAAAGTCGTTGTGTGAGTATGCCCTCAGTGAGAGCGTTACAGCAAGGGTGTCAGGTCCACGAAAGAAGGAAGAGGCATGGTTGCATCCTTGCCGACCACTGACCCCAACCGCCAACCGTATTGCAGCCGACCAGTAGGGCTGACCGGTCGGCGGTCTGCCGACCAGTCAGAAAACAACCATCCACTATTTCTTTTTCAGATCTGAGTTGGAAGCTGTACTGCGCTTGCTGAGTACAGCCCAAATCTGCTGAGAAATTTTTGGGGATGGGGGGGTTGGGGGAGGGGTGTATAAGGGGGTAAAGGGGGGTAAAGGGGTGGTATAGGGGGTATTGGGGGGGGGTATGAGGGTGCTGGGGGGCGGTTTGTGGGTGTTGGGGGTGTATGGGGGTGTTTGGAGTGGGTATGGGGGTGTTCGTGGGGTTATTAGGGGTTCTGGACCCAATTTTTATTTTTATTTTTTATTCATTTACTTATTTATTTATTTATTTATTTATTTATTTTGCGCGGTGCCAATGACCCCCGACCAGTAGGTGCCGACCAGCCAACCGGTCGGAGGGTTGGCAGCCGACCAGTCATGGGTCGCCGACGGTAGGGGTGTGCAACACTGGGAAGAGGGAAAAAAAAAATTGAAACTGAACTTAGGGCAGGAAAGCGGGTTCATACATTCTGCAAAGTAATAGTGTGGGCGTGCCCTCCTCCACAAAGTGTGAGCAGCCCGTGGACTGTGCCGTGCCTCCCTGGCGGGGCACCAAAACAAAAAAAAGAACGAAAACAAAAAACACAAACAATGAAAACCTGAAACTGGCCACTATAGCGGTTAGATACGAACGTGTGAGTTTTGGTTCGAGTACAACTTGGTGAATGGCCTTCCTCAACATGATCTTTTGTTTTTATGTTTGTTTTTCGAAGGGGCCCTCAAGGCCCAACTGCCGAGCCTCGTCCAACCCCCGAAAAGTTCGGAAAGCTTCCGAAAAATGGGAAAACAGCCAGTTCTGAGTTTTCCCATTTTTCCCAAGAGTGACAGACGTATAGTGGTGGTTTAATGGACGAGGGTACCGACCACCAGTACTTGGCCCGAGGAGGCCAGTCTGGTCGCCCACTGGGCAGGAATAGGGCGGGCCCAGTGCTCCTGGCATTGAGCACCAGCACCAGGGCTCATCGGGGAAGAAAAGCGAGTGGCACCAGCTATAGCCAGTGGCTGCCAGGATGCTTGGAGAGGTGCGCCATTTCAAGAGGTCCTGTCGTAGGAGATGGGCGTTCTGTGGTAGAGTGGCGCCAGGGACTAAACAACAATGGCGAACCGTTGGCGAGGAACGAGCGACTTACCTTGGTGCTTTTCAGCATTCAGCCCTAAGCATTGTACACTCTTCTGCTTGTGTTTTGAAGACTCAAGTGACACGTGGCGCTCGTCAACACGGTAGCTGGGAGATGGGTGCTACGAGTTAGAGTGGCGCCAGGTGACTCCTTGATAGGAACAAGCATTGCTCATCTCCCAGCTACTGTGTTGAGGGCGCCAGCTGATTCGACGAGGAAAAAGGAGGGACTAGGTTGTTCAGCATTGAGGCCCCAGCATTGTACAATCTTCTGCTTGTCCTACAGCGGACAGCATTGTGTTTGGAGAGATTTAAGTGGCGAAGCTGCTTGTGGATAAGAGTACTAGTAGAGGCTAATTCAGGGCTGAAGTTGTCAAATCAGCTGGCTGTACAGCGATGAGGGAGTAATTTCGTCAACTCTCTCTCTCTCTCTCTCTCTCTCTCTCTCTCTCTCTCTCTCTCTCTCTSTGKGSGTGTGTGKGGGGGGGGGGGGSGGGGGGRRGGGGCGACATGCATGTGCATGGCACTTGCTCGCTCTGCTGCTTGCCTGCCCGTTGCACCCTTCCCACAATCCTTCCCGCCATCTCTCCCTAATGTAAACCAACAGCCCCCCCGGTCCGGGCTCATCTAACTACCCTGCCAACGTCCTCCCGCACATGGTTTTCTCTCCGAGCTACATGCATGTATGGAGGAAAGACACAGGAAGTTCCCACCCAGATTTTTAAGCAGACAAAAGGTGACTCCTTGATAGGAACAGATACCTTGCTCTCCTTGCTCTTAATCTTACTTAGCCAAAAGGCCAAAAAAGGTATCAGTGTTTTGTCCTGCCAGTAGTTCCAGAGAAAACAATCTCATGTTTTGGTCCAGCTCGGGCCTGTGCCTGTCCCTAGTGCTCAGGCAAGTTTGACGTCCAGGCCCTACTGCTGAGCCAGCACTTCGGACCTGGTCGCGCGCGTTGGGACCCATGTGTTTTGGTCTGGTCGCGTGAGGTAGGACCTCTGCCTGGTACCTGGGCCCATCGGATCGCATCATGGTCTGATCGCATCGTTTAGGAGAGAGAGCGGGTATGTTCTACTTCAATACTTTTTCTATTTCACCACCCAGATTCAAGACTGCATGTGCATTCAGAAGAAGTGTTTAGGATCTGTAAAACCTTTGGGAAAATGACAGAGACCCAAAGTTTGGCAGTTCGCAGGGGTGGCCTAAACCACCTGCGAGGATGTGGCTCCTCGGCAGGCCTAAGGGGCCCCTTATGCAAGTGTGCCCGCCCTAAGTGAAGGCAGGCCTAACAAATCGCGAGAGGCCGAATACTTTCAATTTCGTATTTGGGGCTCAGGCAGTTGTGTCGCGTCAGTTGGTTGAGGGAGCCCACGACCCGAGCAGTAAATACTTTCCACGGCCTTCTAGCCCTTTTTCTGAAATGCAGGCCCTGGGCCACATTCGCAGCAACGTACACAGACAGTTGGTAGGCGTAACTGAACGAGGCCCAGCAGCAGCAGAGGCCCGGCTACCTGGGGCCTACCGGAAGCTTCTGGCCGCAGACATAGCCCAGCCAGGCAGCAGGCCAGGCCAGACTCTTTCCATACAGGAAAGAGTTCGCTGCCTGGGAGCTCGTTCGGGCCCTTGCCAGTTTGCGGAAGCACTGCTGGAGTGGAAGCTCGCGTGCTGCTGCTAGCGCTGGGGCAAGGTGCTGTGCACGTGCGGTCGTGTGGGAAGAAGGGAGCTGCTGAGGGCAGCGCCATAGTCCAACTTCCATAGCTGGTTGGGCTTCGATAAACAGCAAGGCGCAGGGGTGGTCTTCGGGTGGAGAGAGAGAGAGAGAGAGAGAGAGAGAGAGAGAGAGAGAGAGAGAGAGAGAGAGAGAGAGAGAGAGAGAG